CCCGCTGGGCTCTGGCGATCCTTCTGCCTCAGCCTTGGAACTTTCTTACAGTCCTAGTGCCTACTTTGTCAACACCACACACCTCACTTGAAATGATCCTTAAAGGCCAAAATCACCACACTTTTCTCAGATGAAGGCAGTATTGTGAATTATAAGATAATTTTCTTGCTTTCCCCCATAGTTTTATAACCTGTATATGTGTCCCTCTGTCAATAAACTTTATTTTTCCTTTTTTTTTTGGTAGAGACGAGATCTTGCTATGTTGCCCAGACTGGTCTCCAACTCCTGGGCTCAAGCAGTCCTCCTCCCTCAGACTCCCAAAGTGGTGGGATTACAGACATGAATCACCATGCCTGACCTTGATTACCAGTTTAATTTTGACATGTTCTCAGAGCATACTTTATATGTTTACTAGTCTTTTACATTTGTTAAGATGTGTTTTCTGGGTCAGGTTATGACCTCTGTTGGTAAATATTCCAGGTGATCTGGAATGTGTACTTTGCAAGTGTTGGTTGAAATATTCTATAAATAATTAAATTCTTTTGATTGATGATGTTGTTAAGTGAAACCATACCATTACCGAGTTTGTACCTACTTGATCTGTCAATTAGTGAATAGGTGGGTTGGTGTTTCCCACTATAACTGTAGATTTCTTTATTTTTCTTTGTAGTTTTATAAGTTTTTGCCTCATGTATTTTGACTTGTTTTAGGTGCATAGGTATGAAGAATTTAAGGCAGTGATGTCAAGTCTTTGTCTAAGTCTAATAACTGGTATTTTAGAGATTATTTATCTCAGTTTTTTTTTTATCATTGATGGGCCATATATTCTTGTTTCTCTGTATTTTTTGTATTTTGTTGTTGTTGTTGCTGAAAGTGGACATTTGACTATTATAACTGGATAACTGTGGAAATCAGTTTCTTCCTTCTCCAGTGTTTGCTTTTCTTATTTGTTGAAGACTGTAGTTGTCCATTTGTTTAGTGACTTTTCCAAGGTATTTTTGCTGAGACTGTATTACTTGTTGTATGTAATAATTGAAGTGTCTATTCTTTTAGCTTGTGTTATGCCAGTGTTTTGACAGAGAATATAATGAATGCCAGGAGCTAAAATAGAAAAAGAAGAAGAAAAACAAAGAAAAACCTTCCCTCTTCTAGTTTTTGTGGATGGCTGTGTGCTGGGGCATTCTTTTAACATGTAGCCAGGCTGTTGCAAATTCTTAGTCTTCATTTGCTGCTGAACTGAGCCTAGAGATCTGGTAGTGCTGAAAATGAGTCTTCTCGGGTTTTCTGTAAATGACTTTTTTTGAGACATGCATGAGGCTTTTTCAATTTCTCAGTACATCTAGGTGCTTTTGTGGTGTTGTTTTTCTGTCTAATTTTAGATTCAGGGTATGTATGCATGGTTTTTCCGTGTGTATATGGTGTGATAGTGAGGTTTGGGCTTCTATTGACTCCGTCATTCCAATAGTGAACATGGTACCCCATATGTAGTCCTTCAGCCCTTGCCCCGCTGCATCCTTCCTCTCTAAGAGTCCCCAGTGTCTGTTCTCATCTTGATGTCCTGTGTACCCGTTTTGCTCTCACTTTTGAGAGAGATCATGCAGTATTTGGTTTTCTGTTTCTGCATTGATTAACTTAAAATAATGACACCCAGATATGTCCACATTGCTATAATACAAAGGACATGATTTTGTTCTTCTTTATGACTGCATAGTATTCTGTGGTGTATATGTACCACATTTTCTTTCTTTTTTTTTGAGTTGGAGTCTCACTCTGTCACCCAGACTGGAGTGCAGTGGCCGCTCCTGGCCACCGCAGCCTCAGACCCGCTGGGATCCGGCGATCCTTCCGCCTCAGCCTTCCGAGTAGCCGGAATTACAGACATGCGCTACCACGCCCGGTTGATTTTTTGATTTATTGTAGAGATGAGGTCTCGCCAAGTTGCCCAGGTGGGTCACGAACCCGCGGACTCAGGCTCCACATTTTCTTTATCCAGTCATTGATAGGCGCCCAGGTTGGTACTGTGTCTTTACTATTGTGACTAGTGCTGCGATAAACATACAAGTACAGATGTCTTTTTGGTAGAATGATTTATTTTTCTTTGGGTATATACCTAGTGGTGGGGTTGCTGGAATGAATAGTTGTTCTATTTTTAGCTCTTTAAAAAAATCTCATACGGTTTTTCATAGAGGCTGCAGTAAGTTACATTCTCGTATATAGTGTGTGTTATCTTTTCTGAGCATGATCACCATCATCTGTTATTGTTTAACTTTTTTTTTCTGACTGGTGTGAGTTGGTATCTCATTGTGGTTTTAATTTGCATTTCTCTGATGATTAGTGATGTTGAGCATTTTTTCCTATGATTGTTGGCTATTCACATGTCTTCTTCTGAAACATGTTTATTCATGTCATTTTCCTACTTACTTACTTTTGTTGTTAATTGTTGAGTTTGAGTTCCTTGTAAATTCTAGATATCCACATTCTTTTATAATTTCATGTACCGCAGATTTTTCTTTCATTCTGTTTTTTGTCTTTTAATTTCCTTAATTTTAATGTTTGAATTTTTCAGTTGCTATCTGTATACCTACTTTTTCTTTCTTTGTTTTGGAGTCAGAGTCTCATTCTGTTGCCCAGGCTGGAGTGTAGTGGTGACAGGATCATGGCCCACTGCAGCCCCAACCTCCTGGGCTCAGGCGATCCTTTTGTCTCAGCCTCCTGAGTAGCTGGGACTACAGACGTGCTCCACGACAGTACTGATTTTTTGAGTTTTTGTAGAGATGTCACTATGTCACTCAGACTGGCTTTGAACTCCTGGACTCAAGCAACCCTCCCAAAGGGCTGGGATTACATGTGTGAGCCACTTCATCTGGCCATCCTCTTTTTCTTTTTTTTTTTCTTTTTGAGTTGGAGTCTCACTCTGTTGCCCAGACTGGAGTGCCGTGGCCGCTCCCGGCCACTGCAGCCTCGACCTGCTGGGCTCCGGCAATCCTTCCCCCTCAGCCTTCCAAGTAGCT